GTTATCTCACTGATAGTTGACTAGGTAGCTGCAACCTGGTGTGAAGGGGAGTGGAAGAATAGCAATCTCTTTTTCCTCATGTGAAGTCTTTTAGCCATCCTGTGCACTAAAAAGTTGCAAGTTCAATCCCTGGTCAGGGCACATACAGGAGGCAATCGATCAATGTTTCTCTCTCTCTTTCCCTTCCTCTCTTTCTGAAATCAATAAACATATTCTCAAGTGAAGATTTAAAAAAAAGTTAACAGCCACATGTGCTGCCTGTAACTAGGAGGGGCTGATGATTATGCCCATTTTAAAGGGTCGTGGAGCTTCAGAGCAGGCAGAAGGACCTGGGGCTGAACTAAGGCTGGTCTGACCTGCATGTCTGTGTTTGTGGCCCAGAGCTCAGGGCCTCCGGAGGAAACCGATGCTCAGAGAGGGAAGTGACTTGCCTGAAGCAACAGTTGGAACTAAACCTCTTCCTGATTCCAAATCTAGTGCTTCCCCCACCATGCTGCACCGTGGACAGGCCCGTATCCAAGGAGGGAGCTCTGCTCAAGTCTTCACGTTCTCCAGGGAGACCCCCCCACCTGGAGCCTGTCCACACTGAGCTAGCCCCCTGCCCCTGTTCTGTCAGTCGTCTCTACTGGGTCCCCTCCTTTCTCAGCCCAAGCAGTTGACCAGAGGAGAGGGAAGATGCCACTCAAACCAGGCTTTCTACCCCACAACTCCTAACCAACTCCTAACCAGTGGCACCCCCTACACATACACCCTGGGCCCTGCCACACCTGTTCCCCCTTCACAGGGCTCACTCCTGCCCCTCCCCAGCATCCTGGGTTCCTTCTCTTCTGAGCACAATCGCTTTGTGCAGAAAATAGATGGTGACTGTCCATTTCTCCCACAGATGGGGTGGGGCTGCAAGGCCAGAACACAGCACGCTCATCTCCAGGGCCACGGTGCACACAGGGCTGAGGGGAGAACCCAGTGAAGGCACATCTGCTGAATGAAGGGACAGCAGACAAATGAACAAATGTCCAGTGTTGTGGGAACCCACAGCATTTCTGGGTCTCTTTCCTGACGCTAAGCACACCATCCGGCAACAGGAACATCTCCCGCACTCTTTCTCATGTGTCTCCCCCTACCCCATCTCTGTCTCTCTCTGTCTCCCCTTCCCCTCAACCCCTCCTTCTTCTTCTCCTACCCCATCTCCCTCTCACAGAGAAGCAGGAGACAAGGTGTCTGTTTCAGCCTTGGGAGGCAAGGAGGAAGGTGAAGAGCATCTTAGGTGGAAGGAACAGGCCCGGCAAATGCACAGAGGCAGGATGTGTTGTGCATGCTGTGCCTGGGGCAGGAGGGCTGTGCTGGAGGAGGGAGCAGGGCAGATGGCGGCAGAGCAGGTGTAGGAGGCCAGAAAGAGCCCTTGTAGCCTGGGAGGGACAACAGACTGGACTTTTATCCACAATGCTGCCAGGCAGCACAAGCCCCTGGCAGTACCTGATGTGGTTGAGAAAGATCAGTCTGGTAGTGTGGCCCATGCTGGGAAGGGGCAGTGTGGAGGCAGGGAGGCCAGCAAGGAGACCCCAGCCAGAGCCCAGCCTCTTCAGCAAGCGGTCCTTCTGAGTCAGCCTTACCCCTTTTGGCTGTGGTAGAGGCCACGTTCCTTTCAGCCTCCAAAGACATGCTGCATGTTCCCTCTGCCAGGAATGCCCCTCTCCTTCTTACCCACCTGTGTTGGAAGTTCTTGCTCCAAGTCCTGTCTTCTATGAAGCCCCCACCTCCACAAGGCCCCAACTCTGGCCAAGACTGAGCACACTTGCTCCTGAATCCCAAAGCTCAGGTTGTCTGTCCCACCTGCCTCAGAACTGAATCACGCACCACCTTCCTCTGCTCTCCGGTGCTCGGGCAAGTCTCGCTGAAGATGCTGCCCTCCACTAACCCCCCTCTTCCCCACTAACAGCTGCATGGTGCTTTCACAAGGGCCTGCTCCCAGCATCAGCCCCGGCACGAGCTCCCGTGACAGTGCTGGTGCCTCGGGTGGTGTCCGGGTCTCACTCACCCACTGGGCTGTGCTCCCTTGGAGGCAGCTGCGTTAAGCAAAGGACTTCAAAAAGAATGGGTCCCTGGAAAATATCTGTTCCTTTGGGGCCTGCCAACCCAGGTCCCTCTCCCACAGAAACACTGCTCGGTGCACACAGCTTCCCCTCCCCCCTCCCCACACAGCCACGCAGGAGAAGGGGGCGGGACGTCCATGCCATAGCCGCAGGCAGCTATTAAAAGCCACGAGGTACATACATAGGCTGCCATGGAAATAGAATAATAATAATAATGATGGTGGCGGTGGCAACTGGCACTTACAGGGAAAAGCACTGTTCCTTACGTGTTTATACAAATTAACTGATTAAATCTTCACTGCAGTCCTGTCGGGCCAGGACAGTTATTATTCCCATTGTACAGACAGGGACACTGAAGCATAGGGTGTTTGTCCCTGACTCTACAGGGACAAGCGGAAAGGCAAAAGGGAGGTGCACAGTAAGAATCTGAGGTGTGTTATCACTTGAAGGAAAGAAAGCGAGGTGTTGGGGTGCATGATGGTTGCACCGTGTGCAGCGAGACATCCAGAAGGACGTGCTCCTCTGTGACCTGGGTCCTTGGGAGGAGGCTGGGGTGTGGATGGCACTTTTACTCTCTATACTTTTTTTTTGCATTTTTCACAATGAGAAGAAAAATCCACGTGTTACTTGAGTAATAAAGAGAGAACTTGGAGGGTAGAGGGTAGTAAAAGGTAAAGAGGGTCAAATAGATGGTGATAGAAGAAGTTTAACTCAGACTTTGGGTGGCAGGCACGCAATGCAATATACAGACCATACATCATGGAAACGTGCACTTGAAACCTGTGATCCTGTTAACCAATGTCACCCCAATGGAATCAATAATTTAAAAAAAGAGAGAACTTGTTAGGGCCTCTTAATGTTTGCTGAATGAATAGAAGCCAGATTCATTTTCTAGCTTGTTTTTTTCAAACTCTGGTTATGACCCATTAGTGGACTGCAAAATCAATTTAGTGAGTTACAACCAGCAATTAAAAAAAAATCAGATAGATTAAAATAGAAAGTACCAGATCAACAGAGGAAGGAAAAGATAGTTATTTCACTAAACCTTCATTTCAGTTATGTACAATGGGGGTGAACAAAACTGCAACCTAAAATGTATTTCTTACCACAGGTCACTAGCAGTAATTTGAAAGTCACTGGTGTAGACGTCTTAGTCTAAAGAGGAATACGACAAGGGCCTGGCCTGCAAGGGCCTCTGGGTCCAGTGGGGGAGGTGGAGGGCTCTGCAGGGGCCGTTTCCTCTGTTTAGGGAGTCAGAGGGGCGCCTGGCTGTCGGGAAAGGTTCAGTGGGGCTCACTCTAGATGCAGCTTCTGGGGCCTGGATCAGCCCCTGGTGTACTTTCTTTCCCTCCAAGGCTTTTGCTTTGGACAGCCTTTGCCAGAATTTTGGGGTTGAGCCTCCCCCAGACCAGAACGCCTGCCCACTCCACTGTGTCACCTAAAAGGCCACTTCTGCTTGCCTAAGGAGCTCTCCCTGGATGCTCCTGGGGCGCATTCCCCCACCTGTTGTCAGCTAGAAGACTCCTTTCCAGCTTCCACAGGAAGAGGACCAGGGAAGCCTCTGGAAACGCAACCAGGTGGTCAGTCGGTCAGTCGGCAGAGGCCCCACCACCCCAGGGGGAGCCTGACCGGTACAGAGTCAATGCAGATGCACAATGGGGGGACGGGGGAGACAAGAAGAGACCCCAGCCTGGGGTGCCCGGGGAACTGGCGCCTCCACATCAGAGCTTGCCTAACCCACCTTCCTCCCCTCCCAGGGAAGCAAACTAAAAAGATAAAATAAAAAGAAGTAATTCCCCTGCTCTGACGTCAGCGTGAGGTCTTAACAGCCCAGCAGAGGCAAGAGACTGGATTGCAACCAGATGTAACGCTCTTGAATCCTCAACACACCGCTGCGTTAGAAAAGAAATAAGGCGGGGGTACACTCTGGGTGGGGGGGAACCCTGCGGTCTCGCGTGGGCCCTTGAATCAGAGCCTGCTGAAACCTCGGGAAAGGAGATTTGGGAGAGAATATTGAGAGCTGGGAAGCTCAGGGCCCGGCTCCGCCATTCAGGCGCGCTGCCTCCCTTCCCCCAAGCCCCCAACAGCGCATTGTTACACAGGGTCTATCCATTCAGAGCTGAAAACCCAGAGCTCCCCCTACCCAGGGCTCCCAAGGCTCCAAGTGTCACCCTCGTCTCCTGCCACTCCCTTGCCCCCGCCGCGCTCAGCGGTGCCGCCTGACTCCCGGCTCCCACGTCGGTCTCCTGCTTCCAAGGCGCTGGAGGCCATCGGCCTGGCCGGCGCGTTGCTGTCTGGGGACATGGGGCTTGCGTGTCCAGTGCCCGGGACCGTAATGCCACCCTCCGAAGGGCTAGCGCGCCCGGGGCCTGGCCGTGTCGGAGCTCCCAGGGCCACTGGGGCAGCTTCCTGCAGGGTCGCGAGGCCTACGCACAGGCCCCGGCGCCTTTGCCTGGGTTGGGGCACCTCGTTGAACCCCTTAAACTCCATCTCCCCACACAGGCCCTACCCGCCCCTCGAGTCCCTGGCTCCCAAGCTGTGGCCCATACCCAGTCCCAAGCCCCACAAGGAGACGTCGGCTTCCTGCCCCCACCCCCTGGACGCACTCACAAAGTTCCTCTCCCGGCGCTGGGCGAATGCCCCCCATTTCCCCACCCCACTCTCAGAAACACTTCACGCCCCCGAGCGCGCAGAGCTTCCGGCCACACTCGATCCACGGTTCTAGCGCCCTTACGCCACGGACGGACCCCAGCTGGCCGCACAAACGTTCCTGAAGACCCTTATCCGCGGCGCAGGGCGCCCCCACCCTGCAGCTCCCCAGACGGCCAGCCGGTGACCTCGCGCACACCCCCCACCCTACGCCACACAAAGCAATGACCCCGCGGACCCCTACGTGCCGGTTCAACGCACTTCTATTCTTCACCGGGCCTCGGATCCCGACGCCTCGCGCCCCTCGCGCCCCGGCGCTCGGTGCTCACCTCGGCGCCCCCGCTCACTCGGGGGCCCTGGGTCTGGCACGACGACTTGGCGGCCCCGAGGCCCGGTAGGCCATTGGGGGTCAGGGCGCGTCGGCCCGGCCGGTCCCGGGCCAGACAGGAAGGAGGGTGGGCCGTGGCGCCCCCTCCTTGCGCCGGCGCTCGGGCCGCGGTCAGGGCGGCCTGCTTGTTCCGTTCGCCTCTCACCCTCACCGCCGCCTCGCTCTCCAATTCGCCTCTCCCAGCCCAGCCGCGGGCGGGGGCGGCACCCGGGGGCCCTGGGATCCGGCGGCGCTGGGACCCGGCCCTGGCCTCGCACCCAGACGGGCCTGTCTGGTGGCCGCGGGGAAATGCTATCCCTTGTGCACAGGAAGAGCAAGCCGGCGGTCGACGCGTGGGGGGAGAAGGAGAGCTAGAGGGGGAGGAAAAAAGTTCCCGGGCGGCCTGGCTGCGCTCGCTCGCGGCCCCGGGCGCCAGAGGGGCCGTGCACGCCCCGACAGCACCCCCTGGCGGTCCGCATGCCCCACTGCGTGTCCGCCCGCCCGCCCGTGCGCCTTGCGGGAGGGAGGTTTGGTTGTGGGGTCCCAGTGGAACCCTCAGACTCTCAAGCTCCGCCTCGGGGTTGGAACGCCGCGGGACGAGGTTAGGGTGATGGCTGGAAGATCGGGCAGAGGATTTGGGCCGATGTCCTGCTCTCAGGTGCTTCCAGTCTCTGGCCTGGTGTCCAGGCCAGGTTCCCACTACTGCCCCATCATTACCCCTCCCTGGGACCTTCCTTTGAAAGATTTTTGACTTCTGAATTTAATGCGCTGGATATAAATGTCTTCACTTTCTGAGCACCTGGTACCTTGCTTGGCTTTGAGGAATCCACAGAGGTAAGTGGTCCCTGCAGTTATGGAGCTGGTGTTCTGGTGGCAAGAGACAGACAGCAAACAAATGCTTACATATTAAGAGAAGATAATTGTAGGGAATGATAAGTGCTAGGAAGAAATTGGCAGGTGAAGTGACAGAGGGGAGCACCTTAACTGGGAGTGTGAGGAGGAGGCCTATCTGGGCAGAGAGCTGCACAGGAACCTGTCCCTGGCAGAGTGACAGGAAGAGCATCTTTGGCAGAGGGGAGAGCAAGTGCAAAGGCCCCAGTACGGGACAGAGCTTGGTGGGTGAGGAGCAAGGGGACAAGCCACAGGCTCCCCAAAGGCAGCACTCTAACACAGGCCTGGGGTCTCTGGGGCTGCAGAGGGCTTGGGAGGGCGGGATTTACATGTGACTCTAGTCTGTGGGGAAGGAAGCCGCTGGCAGATGATTTTAAGTAGAGGAATGTCGAATGAATGAAAGAATGAATGAAACTATTAACTTACAGACTTCCTGACAGCTGCTGCTCCAAGTCTTCCATTCACCACAGCTCAGGCTGAAAGCCAGCAGCCAGCCGCTCGGGAAGACTCCCACCCCCACCCCCACCCCAACTCATGAGTCTTATGGGGATGGTCAAGGCATTGGAGCTCCCTGGTGGCTTGGGGACTAGTGAGTTCCTGTATCAAACCTGTTTCCACATCTGTCAAATAAGGCACTGAGGTTGCCAGGAAAAGTGCCCTTCTATCTTGGTAGGTCCCAGATGACAGTACGCTTTCTCTATATCTCATTTGAGTCTGTAGCCCCTTGGTGTGCAGGCTGGTCATAGTTCGCTCACGAGGAAATTGAAGTGCAGAGTGGTAAAGTCACCTGTGTGGTTCTCAGGCTGGAGAATCAGAGCCAAGACTTGTACCCAGAGCCCCTCCCACTAAGCGCTTGGGGAACGGTAAGAGCAAGACAGAAGCTGGATCGAGATGGGAACTAGGTTGTTGTAATCTAATTTTAAACACTGGCTCTAGAAGAGACAGTCTTGGTTTCTAAAGCTGGCTCCTCTGTGGCCAGGTGGGTGGCTTTGGGCAAACCATGTGACTTGCTGAGTGTCCATTTCTCCATCTGTAAAATGGGAGTGATAGTAGGTCCTACTCACCTGGGGCTGCTGAGAGGATTAAGTGAGGTAGGGACTGGAAGCCTTTAGCCCAGAGCCTGGCATGCAGTGAATGCTGTTAGCATTTGAGCTCAAATGCTAGATGTGTGTGGATGGTCCCCTTCATCAGTCCAGAGGCTTCCTTGTACCTCACATGGTCCAGCCCCCTGCCCTTCCTGCCTTAGCCTGCTCCTGGGGAGAACCTAGGGAAAGACCAGGAACCAGGAACATCAGTGGGCAGCAAGAAGAGGAGGCCCCTTGGGGGAAGGAGAAGGTGTGGGATCCAAATGCTAGCTGCTGCCATTTCTGAGCACCTACTGTGTGCCAGATGACTTCCATGTGCAGTAGTTTCCTAGGGTTGCTGTGACAATTGACCACAAGTATAGTGGCTTAAATCAACACGTTTATGCTCTACAGTCTGGAGGGCAGAAGTTTGAGATTGGCTTCACTGGGCTAAGGTCCAGGCATTGGTAGGGCTGGCTCCTTCTGGAGGCTCCAGGGGAGAATCTGTCCTTGACTTTTCCAGCTTCTGGGAACCACCTGTATTTCATGGCTCATGATCGCTTGACCTCCAGAAGCTGGAGAAGTCAAGGAAATAATTGCTTCTGTTGTCACATGTCCTCCTTCCTCTGACCATCTTGCTTCCCCTTGACAAGGACCCTTGTGATTACATGAGGGCTACCTGGATAATCCAGGACAATCTCCCCACCTCAAGACCCTTAATTTAATCACATTGGCAAGGCACCCCCCCCCCCCTTTCTCTTGCCATGTAAGGAACTATTCATAGTTCCCAGGGATTAGGACCTGGATATTTTTGTGAGCCATTGTTAAGCCTTACTCTCCATGCATTCTATGAATGCTTTCTCATTACAACTCATTTTACAGACAAGAAAATACAGGCTCAGAGAGGCGAAGTCACTTATACAAGGTCACACAGCAGGTAAGTTTGTTCACCTATTCTATGCATATTATTGAGTGCGCACTGTGGGTCAGACATCAGGTTAGGCTCTGGGTTGCTATGTGAAAGTTACCTATGAAAAGCAAGCTGTGAGGCACAGGCAGTAAATGTAATGAGTCCTGTGGTCCTGTGGAAGAATATACGGAAGGCTTCCTGGAGGAGGTGGCCTGGGAGCTGAGATCTGAAGAATGATTTTCCACTAACTAAAACAGGTGAACTTGTGAGCAAGAGTCACTTACTTGTGGGGTTATCCATCCTGAGACTTCTCTGAGTGGTGCTTGCTGGCAGGGTGTGGGGCTTCTCGGGGATGAACTGGGAATGATCAGAGGTCACTGCCAGCATCACCAGCATCCAGGAGAGTCTGCTGAGAACTGTTTGTCACCCTGAGCCAGATTCAGGTAAGAGGGTGAAGAGGGAGTGGGCTCACTGTGCAACACAGACATCTGGTAGAGACAGTGTTGGTACAAAGGTCTCAAACTTGCAGCTTGAAGGTGGAATCCAGGCCAGGATGCTGGGCTTGAAAGAGCAAATAATGTGTTTGAAAATTTTGGAGTTGAAATACCTTTAAAGACTCTAAATTCTTCGGCCCTACCACTGTGACCTATTGTTCCACACACACATTTAAATCACCCAACTGATCATCAAAGGCATTTGAGTTTGAGATATTCCCCCCTTTCCTTCCTGGGGTTCTAAAGGCCCAGTTTTGCATCTGAATGGCCTTGGGCTTGAACTCCCCATAGGTTTTCTCATAGGCCAAAAAGAGACAATGACTCCTGCCTAGGGGGTGAGAGAGACCCCTGTGAGCTGGAAGACAGGGAAAGGGGAGGGATCTATCTCAAGAGAGAGTCCTGAGCCCTGAGGGAAAAGCTTATTACTGGCTCACTCAATACGGGGCAAGGGAGCACCCCACCAAGCCATCCACCTCATTAGGGAGACATCCCCTCATTCAGTGCCCGGAACAGAGGCACAGGAGAGGACGTACTTAGAGCAGGGAGGTGTGGAGCAGGATTCAGGTGGGTCCTGGTGCCCAGCCTGGGCTCACCCAGGCTGCCATCCTGCTCCTTGAGGGTGAAAGACCACTGTGGCACCAGTGTTCCACACAGTGCATTCTCCTGAGCCCAGGCAGAGTGTGGGGTGGGCAGCAGGCCCCCATTAGTGGGTACGTGGCCAGCGTTTACTAAATATTTTTTACATGCTAGGCCCTGTGCATTTGGGCCTCTTATCTCCATTTTGCAGAGGAGACGGGAGAACAGGTTTAGTCAGTGCCCAGAGGAGTGAGGTGGAAAAGCAGAGGGACTGATCTCCCCAGCTCTGCCCCGTACCAGCAACATGACCTCGGGCAGTTCTGAGCCCACGCTGAGCCTCTCACTTCTGCAGGGAGAATCGAGGTGGCCCACCTCATGGGCTTGATGCAAGGTGTTAAGACCCTACCGTGCCGCAGAGCACTGTGTGGCTGTTGCAGCTTCCCTCTCCCAGCTCTCTGAATTGGCAGGTGCTGCTCCACTACCCCTACCCGAAGGCAAACGTGAGTGAGCCATTTCTTGCCATGCTCTAACCAGTGATTAGAGGCCGGCTGCAGGGAGGCAGGCCAGGGAAAGAGGTGGGGTTGCCCATTTCAGAGGGGAGCAGTGATGGGTGGGGCAGAGCAGCGAGAGACCCCTGGGCTTCCTGCAAAGAGAAGGTGACAGCCCTGCTTAGCTCCAGGGGAGTCTGAGTGCCATAGACTCCGGGCTTCTTTCCAGTGCCGGGGCTCCCGGACCAGTGGGCCCAGGCCAGACAGACATCACCACTGGGATGCTCCCAGTGGTGCACTCATGCACCCATTCATTCAGTCACTACACATTAGCTGAGCCGGGCCCTGTTCTAGACTTCACCTCAGCAATGAGATGATGTGGGCTCCACCCACACCGCACCCAGGGGTCTGGTGAGCCAGACAGACATTGGACCCATTCTGGAGATCTCATTATCCCAAGAAAAAGACTGCTTGACTACAAATCCTCTTGCAACTGGGAACCAACATTTTTTAGTAATTGCAGAAAAGAAGTTAAATTGTAATTATATTTAAAAACTAAAACTAAAACTATGAAAATACTTATATTTTCTCTTCTATTCAACAAAATTTAGGTTAATATGTCAACTCTTAGATTGATGTTCTGATACTTAGAATCCAAAAAACTTAATTTCATGAGGCATGGTTTTCCCACAAAATTGCTTGATGGTCTTTGTGAGGTCCTTCCAGGCAGTAACTGCCCAGAAGCTCCATCACAACCCCCTGTGACCTCCAGGCCACTGAGTTCTGTGACATTCAAATCACTTTCTAGTAAGCACTATGTCATCATTTTTCACATCGGGAGTCTTTATTGTTTAGAGAAGGCTGACCCAGCCAGATAGAGGTTTGATTTGTCAGCCCCTGTGCTGGACCTCAGGATTTCTCCAGTGTCGCTCTCAT